ATCATACTAACGTATCATGAATTGTAGATATAGTCGTTTATAGGAGGGGCTTCCTAAGACCAGAAAGCTATTTTAAGGGTTGATAGTCCAGATACCAATCTATTCCATCATAAGACCAGATAGAGAGAGAAAAACAAAGAAGAAGCCAAGGGGTTTCAGGGACAAAAAGTGTCCCTTTCATCAATGGATCTATGATTGAAGTTCTATACCTTGAATTGATAGTGCTGATAAGACCAGATAACGAGAGATAACCAAAGAAGAAAGCCAATGCATTTCAGGGACAAAAAGTGCCCCCTTCATCAATGGATCTAAAGCTAGGCTACACATGTACTGAAATTCAGCTGACTCAGCAGAAACCAGCTGAATTTTGATATATGTATGGCCTTTCCTGTTCTAGAAGAGTTGATGTAGTGATTGACTCCTCCTGAACAGAACTGTTGATACTGTATATAGTTTACCTCGATCAGCACTCACAGCCAATCGACTGCAGCTCTGTTCAGTGTATGCCAGAATTCAATAGTGCAGCACGAGGATTCTTCCCATCTACAGTACCTCTTAAGGTATGGATGGGGGAATCATTTTTTTTGATGAGCTGGCTGGCTGTTAAAAAAAAAATTATTAGTCTATAGCCAGATTAAAATTGAAGTTCTACACCATGAATTGATAGTCCAGATACAAATTATTTCCAATGTAGGATCAGGTAGAAAGAAGAGCAAATAAGAAAGCCAATGTGTTTCAGAGCCATAAAATGCCCCCTTCATGAGTGGATCTAAGATTGAATCACTATGACATGAATCCAGATACACATTTATTGCAGAGTAATATTAGGTAGAACGAAGACCAAAAAAGAAAGCCAACATGTTTCAGGACCAAAAATTGTCCTCTTCATCAATGGATCTGTGACTGAAGTACTACACCATGAATTGTTAGTTCATATACAAATGTATTCCAATGTAATATCAGGTAGAAAGAAGACTAAATAGAAAATCAATGCATTTCAGGGCCAAAAGTTTCCCCCTTCATCAATGGATCTAAGAATGAATAGCAACACCTTGAATTGATAGTCCAGATACAATTTATTCTGATGTAATATCAGGAAGAGAAAAGACCAAATAAGAAAGCCAACAAGTTTTAAGGACAAACATTGATCCCTTTATCAATGGATCTAAGATTGAAGCGCAATACCATGAAATGATAGCCCAGATAAAAATGTATTCTAACGTAAGATCAAGTAGAAATAGGACCAAATAAGAAAGCCAAGAATGCGTTTCATGATAAAAATTTGCCCCATCCATCAATGAATCTAAGATTGAAGAGCTATGACATGAATTAATAGTGCAGATACAAAGCCAAAATGTTTCCCAACCAAAAATTGCCCTCTTCATCAGTGGATCTGTGAATGAAGTACTACACCATGAATTGTTAGCTCATATACAAATTTATTCCAATGTAATATCAGGTAGAAAGAAGACCAAATAGAAAATCAGTGCATTTCAGGGCTAAAAATTGCCCCCTTCATCAATGGATCAAAAATTGAAGTGCTATGCCATGAATTGATTATCCAGATAGAAGTTTATTCCAATGTTATATTAGGCAGAGATAAGACCAAATAAGAAAGCCAACACATTTTAGGGCCAAACATTCTCCCCTTTATCAATGGATCGAAAATGGAATCCATTTTTGCCAATGATAGCCAAGATACAAATTATTTCCACTGTAAGATCAGATAGAAAGAAGACCAAATAAGAAAGTCAACATGTTTCAGGGTCAAAAGTTGCCCCCTTCATCAATGGATCTAAGATTGAATAGCTACACCTTTTGTCCAGATACAATTTATTCTGATGTAATATCAGGTAGAGAAAGACTAAATAAGAAAAACAAGTTTTAAGGACAAAAATTGATCCCTTTATCAATGGATCTACAATTGAAGAGCTATACCATGAAATGATAACCCAGATAAAAATGTATTCTAAGGTAAGATCACATAGAAAGAAGACCAAATAAGAAAGCCAACGCATTTTAGGGCTAAAAATTGCCCCTTTCATCAGTGGATCTAAGATTGACTTGCTACGCCAAGAATTGATAGTTCCAATGTACACACTGTATTATTTGATTAAAAAAAGAAACCAAATAAGAACAGCAACGTATTTCAGGAACAAAAATTGCCCCCTTCATCAATGAATCTAACACTGAAGTGCTACACCATAAATAGATAGTTCCGATACAAATGTATTTCAATAAAAGATCAAAACCGACATATTTTAGGTCCAAAATTTGCCTTCATTAATGGATCGAAGATGGAAGTAATATGCCATGAATTGATGGTGAAGATCCAAATTATTTCCAAGGTAAGATCGGACAGAAAGAAGACCAAATAGGAAAGCCAACACATTTCAAGGCTACACTGGTAAATGATAATCCAGATACAAATATATTCCAATGTAAGATTAGGTAGAATGAGGAGCAAATAATAAAGCCAATGCTTTTCAGGGTCAAAATATGCCTTCTTAATAAATGGATCTATGAGTGAAGCACCATGCCGTGACTTGATAGCCCTGATACAAATTTATTCCGATGTAATATTAGATAGAACGAAGACCGGATAAGAAATTTAACTCATTTCAGGGCCCATAACTGCCCCTTCATCAATGGATTCAAGATTGAAGTTCTCCACCATGAACTGATAGTCCAGATTCAAACGTATTCTAAAGTAAGATCAGGCAGAAAGAAGACCAGATGGGAAAGCCAAATCTTTTTAGGGCCAAAACGGATCTAAAATTGAATTGGTACACGATGAATTGAGAGTTCAGATACAAATACTGTATATTCCAACATAATATCAGGTAGAAAGAAGACCAAATATGAAAGCCAATGCATTGCAGGCCCAAAAATTGCACCTTCATTAATGGATCTGAGGGAAGTGTTACACCATGAAATGATGGTCCAAATACACATTTATTCTAATGTAAGATCAGGTAGAAGACAAAAAGATAATCCTATGAGTTTTTGGGGCCAAAGATTGTTCCCATCATAGGAGGTGGACGTATAAGTTCTGAAGTAAAGATACAATGTACTTGACCAGTATAGGAAAGCACAGGATTTGTCAGCCGGTTTGATCATTCCAGCTGTTATTGAATTCTGTTCTATATTGGCCACCTTCTGATGAATCGATTTTTGGCCCCAAATACGTTGGCTCAGTTATTTTGGCTTTCTACCTGATATTAAATGGGAATAAATTTGTATCTGGACTATCAATATGTAGTGTTGGGCTTCCATTTTTGATCCACTGATTTCATTACAAATCAAAGAAACTCTGGAAATCCTTTTGATGTCTAGAATGGAAGCCAGATACCCTACGGAAATACAGTACCACTGCCATATTATTGGATAATAACCCCAACAGCACAACCCCAAGGGTTCCAGCACTATGTATACATTTCCCATTTTGGAAATATAGGAGCATAGTGACATACTAATGGGGGGGGGGGGGTTGGAAAGCCTATGCAGCCAGCAGAGGTAAAGCCAAGAAGTCATGGACAACCCTGGGGGTCGTGCACTGTGATTACACTGCATCTAGGAGCCCTTTTGTAATAGCCACAAGACATAGGGGTATATTTATAAGATAGATTGCATAGCTGTTCATCCATTGAAACTGCATGTGGATTTGTTCTGTGTAAACTGGGCAAAAATCAAAAGTTCTCAGGTTATATTCTCTAAAGATCGATCATGTGAATGAGGAAAATACCATATTATGGCCACTAGATGGAGATGAGGAGCAGCTATGATAGCACCATCTAGTGGCCATAATGCAGTATTTTCCTCATACACGCATTCTACCTGGAGAGAATATAGTCTGGAAGTATTCGATTTTGCACCATTCACACACAGACAATTTACATGCAATTTCAAAACTTGAATGTCTACGCTAAAATGTTTATAACTACAACCAGGCTGGCTTCTGGGGGATCTTTTACTACTGGTGGGGGGGTCTTTTGTTGTGGGAGATCTATTGTTGGTGGGGGTAGGGGGGTCATTTGTTGCTGGGAGGGATCTACTGTTGAGGGAAGAATCTATTGTTGCTGGTAGTTGTGTTTTGTTCCTGGAGTGGTTGAGGTGTTGGGGTATTTTTCTTTTGTGGAGGTATATTGTTGCTGGGGGATCTGTTGTTGCTGGGGTTCTATTGTTGCTGGCTTCAGAGGATCTATTTAACTGATGATTTTCTTGCTATCTTTAACAAATTCCGTACAAAATTACTCAGCCCCTTAAAATGATACTTGGTTATGTATTTTATAAATGGGGCTGTACTGGGAGTTGGGTGGGGGATGGAACCAAGGAACGGCGCTCGGACGTGGGTAAGGGGCAGAGACTATGGGTGACTGGAAAGGGGGGAGTACCTGCACCTATTCACTGAGAAAAAAAGCCCTGAATACACCCCATGATGTTTCAAGTGTTCACACTACTTTTAACTTGCAATTTCAGCTTGTGTGTGTGAGTTTGTGCAAGAAAAAAAAACCTGCTTTAACCGCCTCCCGCCCGCCATATAAGGAAATGATGTGCGCAAGGCGGTTCTCTCATTCTGGGAGGATGTCATATGATGTCCTCCCACTCTAACTGCGCGTGCGTGCCGATCTGTGGTGCGTTGTGTCCCTGGGACACAGTGGATCACCGATCAGCGGAAAGAGCCAAAGACTTGGGATCTGTCATGTGATCAGCTGTGTCCAATCACACACACACAGCGGTTATCTGCATTTCACGCTGACAGCTCTTGGGGAGAGGAGAGACGGTAACCAGCAGTCCTCAGAGCAGGGGTGTATTTAGGTTTTGTGCTGCCCTTGGACACCCCTCCCCGGCAGAGAGAGAGCCTGACACTGGCCAACACCAGACCCCCCCACGAAGAGAGCTAGACAGAGATCAACAACACCCGTGCCCCCCCCCCCGAGAGAGCCTTTCACTAACACCCCCCCCCCCCCCACGGTGACAGAGAGAAAAACTCACCTTCACAGCTCTGGACATCCCCGGGAACAACAGTTGGGCTCTGCATACACCATCAAGCAGCCCACAGCCTCTCTCAGATCCCACCTGGTCCCTATGCTGCATATGTCCCTTCTTCCAGGGGGCAGTGCTACCCCTTAAATAAATGCCGCCCTAGGCAAATGCCTTGTGGTAAATACTCCCCTGCCTCAGAGGGGATATCTACACAGATCAGTGCCCAGATGATCAGTGTAGCCCCATCAATGCCACCTGTCATTGCCCATCAATGCCACCTGTCAGTGCCCATCAGTGCACATCAATGCCACATATCAGTGCCTACCAGTGCACATCAATGCCACATATGAGTGCCTATCAGTGAGCATCAGTTCCAGTCAGTGCCACCTATCAGTGCCAGTCAGTGCAGCCTATCAGTGCTCATCAGTGCCACCTATGAGTGATACCAATCAGTGCCACCTATCAATGCCAGTCAGTGCCGCCTATCTGTGCTCATCTGTGCTGCCAATCACTGCCCGTCAGTGCCACCTAACAGTTCCAGTCAGTGCCACCTATCAGTGCCAGTCAGTGCAGCCTATCAGTGCTCATCAGTGTCGCCTATCAGTGCCAATCAGTGCCACCTATGAGTGCTGCCAATCAGTGCCACCTATCAGTGCCAGTCAGTGCCGCCTATCAGTGCCCATCAGTGGCACCTAACAGTTCCAGTCCGTGCCACCTACCAGTGCCAGTCAGTACCACCTATCAGTGCCAGTCAGTGCTGCCTATCAGTGCCAGTCAGTGCTGCCTATCAGTGCTGCCTATCAATGCCATATATGAGTACTGCCTTTCAGTGCCCACCAGTGATGTCTGTAAATGCCCACCAGTGATGCCTGTCAATGCCCGTCAGTGTCACCTACCAGTGCCTCCTCATCAGTGCCCCCTATCAGTGCCCATCAGTGGAGCCTATCAGTGCCCATCACTGCAGCCTCATTAGCGCACATCAGTGAAGGAAAAAAATTACTCATTTACAAAATTTTATAATAGAAACTAAGAAAAAAACTTTTTTTTTTTCAAAAATTTCAGTTGTTTTTGGTTTGTTTATCCAAAAATAAAAAACTCAGTGGTGATTAAATACCACCAAAAGAAAGCTCTATCTGTCTCAAAAAAAGATAACATTTCATATGGGTACAGTGTCGCATGACCGTGGAATTGTCATTCAAAGTGCGACAGCGCTGAAAGCTGAAAATTGTCCTGGGCAGAAAGAGGGTGAAAGTGCCTGGTAGGCAAGTGGTTAAAATTAAAATGCAAAAAAATATAGATCACCAGATTTCTGTGTGCCTTAATATTCTCTGCAAATCAATGTGTGAATGAGGAAAATACCACATTATGGCATCTAGATGGCGCTGAGGAGCGTCATTTTTTCCTGTGATTGCACCATCTAGTGACCATAATATTTCACATGCACACATTCGACCTTGAAAGACTATAGCTTGACAACATTCGATTTTTCTGCATTTGCACACAACAAATTTACATCCAGTTTCAAAGGATGAACATCTATGCCAGGGCTTAAAATTTCAAGTCCTGAGCTACTAGCCAGGCCTTAGAGTTACTCGCCACCAACAAACACACACAAACAGAGACACCTGTACACACACACACAGACATGTACATACACACACACACACACACATACACACACAGAAACATGTACACACACGCACAGACACATGTACACACACACATACAGACATGCATACACACAGATACATGTACATACACAGAAATACACACTCACAGACACATGTACATACACACAGACACATGTACTGTACATACATACACAGACACATGTACATACATACACAGACACATGTACACACAGACACATGTACGTACATACACACACACATGTACACACACACATACAGACATGCATACACACAGATACATGTACATACACAGAAATACACACTCACGGACACATGTACATACACACAGACACATGTACTGTACATACATACACAGACACATGTACATACATACACAGACACATGTACACACAGACACATATACGTACATACACACAAACACACACACACATGTACATACACACACAGACACATGTACACACACACATACATGTACATACACACAGACACATGTACAATTGTACATGCATACACAGACACACACAAACATGTACACGTACACGTACACACACACCCATAAAAAGTTGCAGTACTTCGTTGTTCACTCACAGAGCCAGGTACTGCACTCTAGGGGGAGGCAGAGAGCACAGCACACACTCCTTGCTTTGCTTTCACTGCTCTCAGCTATTGAGCAGTCTGACGGCTCCCAGTGCCAATGGCAGATCCAGCCTGAGCTCCGAGCCTGCTCAGCAAGACGGTCCTGGGGGGCACACTCGCCCCCACCATAATTTCCACTCGCCATTGGCGAGCAGGCAAGTGGAAATTTCAAGCCCTGATCTATGCTAATTATTTTTAAATACGCCCTATATTTTGGCATGCGGTAATGCACGCATTATTTCTTTCTTGCAATTTCTGCTTTCAATCGATATGCAAAAAAAAAATCTTTAAAAAAATGGATCTGATATTTCAGGGTAGCTAATCATAAGACAGAGAAATCCCTATGTATGTGTGGGCACTATGAATGACCACGTGCTTGTGTTTTCTTGAATGCATTCAGCACCATCATTGAGGGGGGAAGGCAGAATTGTCAGCGATTTCATAGCCCGTCTTATCTGGAGCTAATGCCTTGGCAGGCCTGCCTATCCTGCTGACCTTAAGTGTAGAAAGGATTAGGGCTGTGCATGGTCCATCTGCTTTTATATACTGTGACAAGCGGCACCGCATGGCACGCACAGGCACAGATAGCCGAACTACCCATCTAACCTCACAGAGCTCAATCTCTTCTATCCAAAGGCTGTTCCTTGCAAGCCTGATGCAACGTCGACTTTAACCTTGCAGCGCTGTAATGCTGGCGTAGGAATTGAATTTTGCATGGAGCCCCCCGGGTATTCGGTAAACCTTTGCAAAGAGTTGAAGTGGTCTCTACACACGGTGCAGATACCTGCAACCCATGGCTTCATCGACCACAAGTTTTATTTTTACTAAGCAGTGTGGAAATATTCCCAGCATACCTGCCTGTCTAATTGGAGTCGGTGTCACAGCAATTATCCAGCTCCTACTTGGTGTATTGGAAAATGATTTTGGTATTCAGTAATGACCACGTGAATCCATACCGAGGTCCGATATCAGCAAGCTTGAGGATATAATGAATAAGAAGATTTGTGTTATATACAGTAGACACTTCAATTGCAGTTCAACCCTAGCATTGTTTAAGACAGTGGGGGTCAACGTACATAACATAGGGGTCCCTAAGTGTGACCCCTGACATCTCCAAAGAAAGTTATCAGAGACTGCAGACATGGAACAGGAGATGGCCAGAGACTGCGGACATGATACAGGGATGGTCAGAGACTGCAGACATGGAACAGGAGATGGCCAGAGACTGCAGACATGATATAGGAGATGGTCGGAGACTGCAGACATGATACAGGAAATGGTCAGAGACTGCAGACATAAGGAAGAAGATGGTCATAGACTGCAAACATGCTACAGGAGATAGTCAGATACTGCAGCCTTGCTACAGGAGATGGTCAGAGACTGCAGACATAATACAGGAGATGGCCAGAGACTGCAGACATGATATAGGAGATGGTCAGAGACTGCAGACATGATACAGGAGATGGTCAGAGACTGCAGACATGGTAGAGGAGATGGTCAGAGACTGCAGACATAATACAGGAGATGGTCAGAGACTGCGGACATAATGAAGGAGATGGTCATAGACTGCAAACATGCTACAGGAGATGGTCAGATACTGCAGCCTTGCTACAGGAGATTGTCAGAGACTGCAGACTTGATACAGGAGATGTTCAGAGACTGCAGACATGATAGAGGAGATGGTCAGAGACTGCAGACATGATACAGAAGATGGTCAGAGACTGCGGACATGATACAGAAGATGGTCAGAGACTGCGGACATGGTACAGGAGATGGTCAGATACTGCAGACATGATACAGAAGATGGCCAGAGACTGCAGACATGGTACGGGAGATGGTCAGAGACTGCAGACATGATACAGGAGATGGAGAGACTGCAGACATAATACAGGAGATGGTCAGAGTCTGCAGACATAATACAGGAGATGGTCAGAGACTGCAGACATGATACAGGAGATGGTCAGAGACTGCAGACATACTACAAAAGATGTCAGAAAAAACAACCATGTCATAGGAGTTGTTAGAGACTGGGGACATACTTCAAGAGACTATCAGAGAGTACAAACTCCTTAAATATTATATTGTGCAGTATAAATAAAATGAAAATAACATAAACAGAAAAAAGGGACAGACAATACAGAAAAAAGTAAGAGCACGAAAGAAATAAACTATTTAACTCTTATCAGCCAGTCTAATGAATACACCTAGGTACTATTGAGTAAATACCTAGGTAAGAACAGCATAGACTGCTGTTCACAGGGGCCCCTACTATAAGCGTCAAAGGGCCACATGTACCACAGGCTGGGTACCAAGGGTTCAAGGGCTTGCATCACCTGATAAGAAGACACTCAGCAGATTCTCCTACGAGCCTGAATGCCTATACAGCTACCACCTAGGCTATGCACCTCGCATGAAAGTTACTCAGCAGCCACCCTCTCTTATACATGGTGAACGTAAAGGGGACACTGTTAGCCTGGAGGATTGAGGGCACTTTATGAAAAAAATAAAACTGGCCTAGTAATGGCTGACTGTTATTGGATTTATGGCATATAACCCTTCCAGCAGTGAGAGACTTACTGAAGCATGCCTGCAAGGGAAAGAAAAAAAAGGACAGGACGGGGATTAAAAATGCAGGAACATTAATTCTGATTTTAGCAAAAGGTTTATGAAATTGTCTCAGGGCTTTTCAAAAGCGTGGAGAAATCAACAGACCAGAATAAAAAAAAACATACTGCTAGTGAGAAAAAAAGTCAGTAGAGCGAACAATTAAAGAAGAAATAAAGAAATTTAAGAAAATGTTTTTTTTCTATTTAAAAAAAATGATGTACTGATAAAATAATAGAACTATAAGTAAATTATTATAATAAAATAACTGTAGTTGAAACACCTTAGCATATAGTGTGTATGTATGTATGTGTTAGAAAAACCCCAAAACTATATATATATATCTTATTAACTAACTCTATCTATGTATGTATGTATGTATATATATATATATATATATATATATATGTATATATGTATGTATATACAGATATATATATATATATATATGTAGGTTTATGAGCAATATTTCGATAGTAT